TAACTTTACTGATTTATATTTTGTTAAGAAACACACTATACCAGTCAAGGAGAGATCATCACCTCTAGCTGTTGAGGCTATTAATGGGAGACCCCTATCTCAACCATTGATTACCCATGAGACCTTGTTAATTTGCATTACAATAGGAGCTTTGTATAAGGAAGACATCATCTTCCAGATAATCGCTTCTCCTTCTTGTCCCATCGTATTAGGTTTCCCTTGGCTCATCAAGCATAACCCTCATATTGACTGGACTAAAGGGGAAATACTGGAATGGGGTAAAGAATGTCAGGAAAACTGCATGTTTCACATTACTAAAAAAGTGAGCATTGTTGCTTTACCCGCTGCTACGTCTCTGAGCCCCGAAATTCCTGCACAGTATTTCGAGGTTAGGGAAGCATTTAGTAAAAGCCAGTCTGGTGTTCTTCCTCCACACAGATCATACGATTGCTCCGTTGATCTGTTCCAGGGGCTATACCTCCTAAGGGGGCAGTATATACCCTATCACCACAAGAAAGTAAGATCATGGATGAGTACATCAAAGAATCTTTAAGAAAATGCCATATACGTAAATCATCCCCGCCTGCAGGAGCAGGATTCTTTTTTGTAGCTAAAAAAATAAAGGAGAGTTACGACCTTGCATTGACTACAGGGCATTAAACAAGATTACTATAAAAAATGCCTATCCCATTCCCCTTATATCCGAATTGTTTGATAGACTCCAGGGTGCTAAGATCTTTACCAAACTTGACCTTAGGAGTGTATACAATTTGGTGAAGATTAGGGAGGATCACGAATGGAAGATGGCATTTAACACTAGGAGTGGGCACTATGAATACCTTGTCATGCCCTTCAGATTATGCAATGCTCTGGCTGTGTTTCAGGATTTTATTAACGATGTACTCAGGGACTATATCTATTCATTTGTTCTAGTTTACCTGGATGATATTCTTATTTATTCCCAGACCTCCAGACTCATCATGAATATGTTAAACAAGTATTACAAATATTGCTTGATAATGGACTTTATTGTAAACTTGAGAAATGCATATTTGATCAGCATGAGGCTCAGTTTTTGGGGTATAATATTTCTGCCTCTGGTTTCCAAATGGATCCTCGCAAACTAGAGGCCGTTCTACACTGGCCGTTACTCAATGGGTTAAAAGCCATCCAAAGGTTTTTTTCGTTTCTCTAACTATTATAGGAGATTCATCAAAGGTTTCTCTTTGGTAATAGCCCCCATCACCAATATGACACGCAAAGGGACTAATTGTACTATATGGCCTAAAGAAGCCAAGGAGGCTTTTGGGCTTCTTAAACAAATGTTTGCATCTGCTGACATATTAAGACATCCTGACACTAGTAAATCTTTCCTACTTGAGGTTGACGCTTCCGAGACAGGGTTCGGGGCCTGTTCTTTCTCAGAGAAAGAGTCAGGATGCCCCTTTGCGGTTACTTCTCCAGAAAGTTGTCTCCTGCAGAGCTTAACTATGACATTGGTAATAGAGAACTGTTAGCCATCATACTAGCACTTAAGGAATGACTTCATCTTTTGGAGGGTTCCAAGGATCCCATTCTGATTCTTACTGATCACAAGAAGCTGGCATATATTGGGGATGCAAAACGACTCTCTCCTAAACAAGCTAGATAGATGGTCATTATTTTTGTCACGCTTTAACTTCATTATCATCTACAGACCCGGTTCTAAGAACGTTAAAGCTGACGCCCTGTCTAGGCAATTTTAAGTTGAATCAGATCTAGAACAAGAGACAGTCCCTATTATTTCTCCTGAGTGCATTGTTGCATCCACTGTCCTTTTTTTATCGTCCCCTTTGCTCTGTGCTATCATGGCAGCTCAGCCCCAGGCACCTTGCAACAAACCTCAAAATAAATTGTTTATTCCATTGTCTGACAGGAAAGAGGCACTGAAGGTATTCCATGGCAATGTGACCGCTGGGCATCTGGGTATTATTAAAACCATATCCGCCATTTTCATGTCATTTTGGTGGGAGTCACTCAGGAGGGATATTAAAGATTATGTAGAAGCCTACTCTGTGCAGTTCCGAAGGTTCCTCATAAACTTCCATGTGGATTGTTACAGCCATTTCCTATACCCAGTATTCCATGGTCTCATTTATCGATGGATTTCATTGTTAAACTGTGAAGTTCTAATGGGTATACAACCATCCTCATGGTAGTTGACCATTTTTCCAAATTGGCACACTTTGCTCCACTAAAATTGCCATTGTCTCAGGACCTGGTGCACATATTTATACGCGATATTGTCAGGCTACATGGTATTCCTCAAAATATTGTGTCTGACAGGGGTTCCCAATTTGTGTCACGGTTCTGGAGGGCATTCAATAAACAGTTGGGCATTGAATTGTCATTTTCCTCTGCTTACAATGCCCAAACTAATGGTAGGGCTGAAAGAGCTAACCAATCACTTTATGTTGCTTCATGAATAGTACACAGTCTAACTGGGCTGAATTATTACCCTGGGCTGAATTTGCAAGGACTAACGCTACCCATGACGCATCTGGGCACAGTCCATTTTTTGTCAATACGGGTCATCATCCTGCTGTTCTCCCTGCTGTTTTTTCTGATCCGGCTATCCCTCCTCCGGATGATCACCTTACCTCTATTCGTGATACCTGGACTAAAGTTCACTCTGCTCTTGAAACTGTGGCAGCTCGCTTTAAGTTTCATGCGGATAAACGGCGGAGTGCCAATCCAGTTTACCAGGTGGGTGATCGGGTTTGGTTATCCTCACGCAACATCAGGTCGAAGGTTCCCAGCATTAAGTTTGCTCAGAGGTTCCTTGGTCCTTTTCATGTAGTTAGGAGAATCAACCCTGTTTCTTATTCTCTGGCCCTTCTAGCGCCCTTACGTATACCTAATACTTTTCATGTGTCCTTGCTCAAATCGTTTGTTTGCAATCGGAACACAAGTCCCTTGTTCCCCCTCCTCCTTTGGTTGTTTCTGGACAGGAGGATTATGAAGTCTCCTCCATCATTGATTCCAGGTTTTTCTTGTGGTTCCTTACAGTATTTGGTTGATTGGAGGGCGTATGGGCCTGCTGACCGTTCTTGGGTTTCGGCTTCTGATATCCATGCTGGCCATAAAATTCGTTCTTTTCACGCCAAGTTTCCTCTCAAACCTGGTCCTGCCCGCCCGGTGGGTGATCTTCAGGTGGGAGGGTAATGTCACTTATTCATCTGCACATAAAAATGTGGTTAATGGCATTTACCGTCCTGACAGGAAAAGTTGTGCCGAGCAGCATTACCGTCCTGACAGGAAAAGTTGTGCCGAGCTATCATGCACATGGAAACCTGGTAATTGCTTTTGGGGTCAAAGGCCTGTTATGGCCAATCAGATCCACAGGAGGGTTTGTGTTGAGCAGCAGTCATGCACATGGAAACCTGGTAATTGCTTTTGGGGTCAAAGACCAGTTACAGCCAATCGGATCTACAGGAGGGATATTTAAACCCAATTCTCCTTTTGCTCATTGCCCTGTCATGGTTTCATACTGATGGTAATCCGAGAGAGGGTTCCTGATCTTGATTTTCTGGTATTTGACTTTGGCTTCATTTTGACTTCCCTGAATTCTGGTATCCTTGACTTTTGGAATTCCCTCATCGTTGTGTCTGATTCTCCTGTTCCTGACCTCTGCAAGTATTTTGACTATTCTTGGATACGTTAAGTCCTGCCATTCTAAGGTCTGGTTACACGTTATCCTTAGTCCTAGGTGTGACACAGTTCTGCGTGGTGGATCAACTTGTAATCCTGACAAAATGAATAAGGAGAGAGTGCACACTTGTTGCTGGAGAAAATAATGTGCTGCATTGGCCTCTCTTCTCCACTAAGAACTCCTCTAAAAGTACTAAGTCTGCAGTGACGGTGGAAACAGAATTCTCATCACTGGATTCAGAATTTTCAGACATTGGAGACAGTATGTTGGTATTCTGCTCACTAATGAGTGGCTCCGATTACCTTCACAAGTAGACACTTTATGTTGTCCCTTAGTTGCTTCTTGTGTGGGCCAATGTCCCTCTAGTTTTTCTTAGTTGATGTGCGCAGAAATTTTCCCTTGTGCAAAATTTCTTTCTGACCTAAAATTTTGTGCACACTGAAAGCATTGGATTGACTGAGATCTTCAAGGAGGCGGGGCGGGGGCTGGGCCAAATGCTGGCCTGGCCAATAATCATCTCCTCATAGAGATGCATTAAATAAATGCATCTCTATGAGGAAAGTTTAGCGTCTCCATGCAGAGCGTGGAGATGCTGAATGGCAGTTCTGCAAAGTGCCCCAGGAAGCACCTCCAGTAGCCATATGAGGAGTGGCCGCTAGAGGTGTCCCTAGGCTTTAATGTAAACACTGCTTTTTCTCTAAAAAGCGTTTACTGCAAAAGGCCTTCAGGGACTGACTATACTCACAAGAACAACTACATGCTTCTTATATATAGGTATATATATATATAGTGATATATACGTATATATTTATGTATGTAGATATATATATTATTTTGTTCTACGTGTATTTTGATATAAATATATATATATATTAATATCACAATACAGTTAGAACGAAATAACACACATCTATATATTTTTTTATTATTTTTTGAATTATTTTTTTAAAGTATTTACATATTTAATTTTTTATATTATATATAAATATATATATAACAAGAATTATATATATATATATATATATTTAATCAGTATCAGTCTACGTGTAATTTGATATTAATATATATATATATATAATTATATATATATATTAATAGTAAAATACACCTAGACAGTGTATGTGTGTGTATGTATGTATGTATATATATATATATAGACAAATAGGGGTGCACTCACAGGTCTTGAAGAAAAACGACACTCAAATACTTTAAAGTGCAAAAAGCTTCATTGTAGTCGTGATAAAAATCAACGTTTCGACCCCTAAGGGTCCTCCTCAAGATCCTGAGGAGGACACTTAGGGGTCGAAACGTTGATTTTTATCACGACTACAATGAAGCTTTTTGCACTTTAAAGTATTTGAGTGTCGTTTTTCTTCAAGACCTGTGAGTGCACCCCTATTTGTCTATATATATATATCTAACGCGGGTTGCACCGAGGCATAACATTTTTGATATATTGCAGTTTTGGAAGTAAGGAGAGTGCCAAGCAGTTCGTGTTTTTGTTTTATATATATATATATATATATATATATATATATATATACTTAGATCATATAATATATCATATAATAATTTATTTTTTTTACACTTTTTAACTTATTTTATTTTTATTTCCAGCCAGCAGGGGGACACCTGTAATTACAGGCAGCCCCCTGGTAGCAATGCAGCAGCCAGCTATCCCGGCCATGTGATTGTGAGGTCCTCGCAAGGACCTCACTCTCACATGGCTGGGGGGGACCGGAGGAGGAGGATCTGCCGCGGGGGGCTCCCTGGGAGTCCCCCCCACCGCGATCGCCGGCGACCGGGTAAGTAAGGAAAGACCGGAGGGCGTACTATTACGCCCGGCGGTGTTTAGAGCCGCCTAAAATAGGGCGTAATAGTACGCCCTCCGGTCTTAAGGGGTTATTTTAAAAATTTTTAAAAAAATATGATGAAAAATTGAAAAAAATACATGTTTTTTTACTTTTACTTGAAAAATCTTCTACTCATCTACAAAAGCGAATGAAAAAAAACTGCTAAATAGATTCAAAATTTTTTGTCCTGAGTTTAAAAATACCCAGTGTTTACATGCTGTTTTGCTTTTTTTTTGCAAGTTATAGGGCTATACAAGTAGGATATTGCAGTTTCAAAACATACATTTTTTTAAATTTATCAATAGTGACATTGTAACACTATTACCTGTCATAAATCTCTGAATAACACCCCACATGTACATATTTTTTTTAAAGTAGACAACCCAGGGTATTTAACTTTGGCGAGTGTTTAATATTTAAACACTGGCCAAAGTTAGCATTCATATTTGTGTGTAAAAAAAGTAAAAAACTAAATTGAACGCAAATTTTGGCCAGTGATTGTGACTAAGTGGCTACTAAAAAAGACTGGACATACCCCATTTGCAATACTTTGGGTTGTCTTCTTTTGCAAATGGTATGCCATCATGGAGGTAATTCTCATTCCTGGGCTACCAGCCGCTCTCAAAGGCAACGTAACCAACCTGGCCTTTTTTCAATGTAAAAATATTTGACCCAAATATTTCACCCTGTAACTTTCAAAAACGCTATAAAACCTGTACATGGGGGGTACTGTTATACTCGGGAAACTTTGCTGAACACAAATATTAGTGTTTCAAAACAGGAAAACGTATCACAACAATTATATCATCACTAAAAGTGCTGTTTTTGTGTGAAAAATGCAAAAAAAAGTCACTTTCACTGACAATATCATCACTGTGATATGTTTTACTGTTTTGAATCACTCATATTTGTGTTCAGCGAAGTCTCCCAAGTAAAACAGTACCCCCCATGTACAGGTTTTAGGGTGTCATAGAAAGTTACAGGGTAAAATATAGTGCTAGCAAATTAAATTCTCTGGCCTTTCGGCAGGTCCCTCAAATTGCAATCAATAAAATTACTTAATTATGTAAAAATATTACATACATATGCACATAGAATTTAAATATATATGCATATTTATATATTTGAAGTCTACGTGTATATTTATATAATTATTTATGTAATTTTATATATGGACATATGTATATTTGGTATTATTTTTATTTATTTATATATACATAGATATATATACACAATTTCATTCTAAGTGTATTTTGATATAAATATATCTATATTACTATCAAAATACAGTTAGAATAAAATTTGATTTAGATATATATTTTTTAATTTTTATTGTTATTTTTACATGTTTTTATTTAATTTAAATTACTTATTATTTGTATTTTACAATAATATTTATATACAATATATATAGTTATTATATATATATATATATATATATATATACACACGTGTGTAATTTAATTATAAGTGTATTTTTATATTAATATATGTACATATTAATATAAAAATACACTTAGTATGACATTATATATATATGATATATAGACATATATTATATGTATATACACATATATAATTATTATTTTTTTATAAACATTAACAGTTTTTTTTAATGATTTTACACATGCAGGGAGACACATGGACACCTATTGTGACCATGTGATCGCTCTGTTGAGCGATCACATGGCCACAGGGGTCCTAATCCACCATGGGGAGACTATCTGGGCTGCAGGCAGTCTCCCCACAATGGGAGCAACACCGATCGCTGGCGGGGGAACGACTGCGATCGGGTAAGTACATTGAATCGTTAGGACGGTTCAGGACCGTCACCGGTCGGCAATGGAAAAATGCAGATGACGGTCCTGAACGTCCTCGGTCCTGAAGGGGTTAATATGATGGGACGTCTCCAAAGCACACAGAAGAAACAAACAACCCAATTTAGCAGACACCAATAACAAACAATACAGTTGTGCTCAAAGGTTTGAATACCCTTTGAGATTTGGTAATATATATATACAATTTTTAAAGAAAACATGACTGAGCAGGCAAAACACATTTCTTTTATTTCTTATGGGATTCGTATTCAAATGTAGGTTATAACAGAATGGCACAATTATAAAACAAAACATGGCAACAAAGAAAAAATAAATTGACCCTGTTCAAAAGTTTGCATACCCTTAGTTCTTAATACTTTGTATTGCCCCCTTTAGCATCAATTACAGCATGCAGTGTTTTGTAATAGTTGTCTATGAGGCCCTTAATTCTTGCAGGTGATATTCGCCATGGCCCATTCATCTTGGCAAAATGCCTCCAAGTCATGTCATGTCTTTGGTCGTCTTGCATGAACCACGCGTTTGAGATCTCCCATGAGTGGCTTGATGATATTAGGGTCAGGAGACTGTGATGGCTACTCCAGAACTTTCACATTTTTCTTCTGTAACAACTGGAGACAAAAAAAATACAAAATCTTTCACAATATAACACAATTTTAAAGTGCTTTCAATTAAATAAAGTGCATATGCTTGTAATTGCACTAATTTAAATAATAAAGTGCTTAAGTGAGCTAAAGTGCATATAAAAATGCTTGACTTCCCTTCTAGCAGAGCCAGCCCTGATCCTGAATAATCACAGTGGGCTAATTCTTTCTCCCATGTAGCTGGCAATACCCTTGACCTCATTTTCTCTTATACATGTACAGTGTCTAATATCTGCAACACCCCATTTCCTCTCTCTGATCACCCCCTTTTATCATTTGCTCTCAAGTACCCCCTCACCCAACAACATCAGCCTAACTCCCATCAACACAAGAGGAACCTCAATTCTATTGACCTCCAGCAGCTGTCAGCTAATATTGATACACAACTGCTATCCATCCCTTCCCTTTCCTGTCCCTCACTTCAACATATAACACTACCCTCACCTCTGCCTTGAACACTGCAGCCACGCTTTAAACATGCACCCAAAAGCCATATTGCCCCGCTACAGTCTGTAATGAATGTTGCCACCAAACTGATTTTCCTCTCTAGTCAGTCCTCTCACACCTCACCCCTCTGTCAGTCCTTACATTGGCTTCCTGTATCCTATATGAGTCAATTCAAAGTACTAACACACACCTATAAAGCATAGATCAGTTCTAGCACCTCTTTTATCTCTTCACAGATCCATAGGTATGCCCCTTCTCCGTCTCTCCGCTCTGCTCACGCTTGCAGGACTTCACGCGGGTGACTCATTCCTATGGAATAGCCTGCCTACCAGCATCAGACTCTCCCCTAGTCTTCAATCGTTTAAGAAGTGCCTTAAAACCCATCTCTTTAGCAATGCTTATGGCCTCCCAGAGTAACTTCTACCTTACATACCTGTCTCTTGCTCTCTCCTAAAGTGCAGCACTATACTCTCTCCTCCATCTCTGCTTCACTCCCAACTTATTTGACTGCTATTTCCTGTCCTAATGTGTATAGGACTGTTTCCTGTCCTCTTGAACCTATCGTTCCTGTAAGTTTTCTTGTAATTGTCCTATTTATAGTTAAATCCCCCCTCTTACGCTACGGAATCTGTTGGCTCTATATAAATGGCAATAATAAATAAATAAAGTAAATATTTGCAATTTAAAAAGCCACAGGTGTAGGAAATTAACCGTTCATTGCCATATTAGCATGGTGTGTGTTGCCTTGTGTGTCTGTAACAAGGCCAAATATTCAAGGGTATTTAAACTTTTGACTTTTGACCTTTGGGTGACTTTGGGTGATTTCTGTTATCATTATGATTTAAAAAGGAGCCAAATAACTATGTAATAATAAATGGCTTCATATGGTCACTATCCTTTAATAAAATATTTTTTTTTGCATGATCAGTCATATTTTTAAAATCAATGCCACAATTTCCGCCAGGGTATGCAAACGTTTGAGCACAGCTGTACAGAGAAATGTCACCCATAGATTTTTCAAAAGGAGCTCTTTGCCAAATAAATGGTGACATATACATTAATGCTTCTTAAGCACACAGACACCGACTCTCAGTGACAGGCACACAATCTCACTGATTTGAAGCACACACACTGACCGACACACTGACAGAAACACTCAGTGACAGACACACACTCACTGACAGACACACTGACACACACTCTCAATGACAGACACACAAGCTAATTTATTTGAAACACTGACTGACAGGCATACTCATTAACACACTTACACACAGACACTCACATATTCACACATTCTTGCACATTAATGAATTTTATTTCTTTTTGTTTTACTTTATTTTTTTTAGACCCATCCAGCCTCCCTTTAGGAGAGCTGTTGTGGGTCCTCTCCCTGGGGACAAGTGGAGATCTTCTCCCTGAGGTCCAGTGGGGATCTTCTCCCAGGAGTCCAGAGGGGAGTCCAGAGGGGATCTTCTCCCTGGGGTCTAGTGGGGCTCTTCTATGTGGGTTATGGATCTTCCAGTTCCCCTCTGCTAGCTCACTGTAACATATTCCTCCTCACGTGCGTCTGCATAACTGACTCCTGTGACATGTTGATGGATGCCGCCGCTGCAGATCCACGCCAAATTATATTCCCACGTCCGCCCCCGTTGATGACGACATCAGCATGAGTGTGATGTCACGTGGGAGACGCGCTTGAACGTTCTGGGGTTAAAGGCCGATTTCGGACAATCAAAG